TGTAATCATATGATCAATATATTTGTACATATCGGGTCAATGTACAGCTAATTTTTAGTCCTGAGTTTTGTTTTGATTGTCCACATATTTCCTCCTATTATATAATTGTTTAAGTATAATTAACCTTAAACTCCGCCTCTGGTAAATACTGGGTGGATTGAGTATCTCAGTAAATGCCAGTGCCGGTCCCAAGCCCGGATGAAGGAGGAGGGTTACAGCGGTAGGTTAGCTCCCCGCCCTGCGTAAAAGAAATATTGCTAAAAATCCCAAAGAACAGCCTCGGAACTCGGATGGCTTCAACGGAAAACGACATAGGCAAAGAAAAAGGCTAACGAATTTTGGATGTTGGAACATACAAGGACTGAATACAAAAGAAGACCAAGTATTTAAGGAACTCAGTACATACCGAATTGACATCGCAGTACTCAGCGAAACAAAAAAGAAAGGACAGGGGAACCACTACAAAGACGATTATATATACTTCTGGAGCGGAGTAGAAAAATCAAAAAGAGCCAAAGCTGGAGTAGCGGTCGTGATAAGAAAAAACATGGAAAAATGTATTACCCGATAAACTGGAACCCGATAGACGAAAGAATTATAACAGTAGACCTTACAACAAAGGGGAGAGACATAAAAATAATTGGCATCTATGCACCCACGGACGACTCAGATACAAACACTAAAGACATGTTCTTCGACAAACTCTCAGAAGAGTTAAATAAAATAAAAAAAGGCAAGAAATAGTCCTGCTAGGGGACCTGAACGGAAGACTAGGTAAAGCTCTTGACAACAAAATAATTGGACAACACGGAGAAGATGTAGTAAATGAGAACGGAACAAGATGGTTGGAGGTATGCGAACAACATTCGTTAAAAATACTGAATGGATTTTACAAACATAGAGACATAAATAAATATACATGGACTCAAAAGACAAGAAAACTGCAGTCAATTATAGACTATATAGTAATTAAACAAGAGACATCTTTAAGACCCTACGATGTAAAAGTTTGGAGAGGGGCAGAATGTGGATCGGATCACCTACTAGTAAAGGCACCCGTGGAAATACGATATATTAAACAAAATAAATCCCAAGAACAGACAAACAAAGAATCCACACGGCTCTATAACATAGACAGCCTAAAAAATGAGTCCACAAGTTTTCTTTATAAACTACGTTTGGCACAAAAATTAGACGAAGAAATAAACGGAACAGCGGAAGAAATGTATGAGACTTTGAAAATCAAAATTCATGAAGCAGCATTAGAAGCTCTAGGTACGAAAGAAAAAGTAAAACGTAGAAATTATTGGTGGACAGAAGGTTTACTAGAACTGGTAGAAGAAAAGAAAAAACTGTATCTCAAATGGTTAGCGACAAAAGATGAGGAAGACCGAAAGAACTATAACAGATACAAATATATAGTAAAAAAGGAAATTAAAAAAACAAAAAACATAACCTGGGACAACAAGTGTGCAGAAATAAGCTCAATGGTAGGAGGATCTAGGTCCAGACAAGCTTGGAAAACTATCAACAGTCTTAGAAAAAATACAAACGAAACAAAAAAAATAAACCCCATAGACATAGAAAGATGGAAAAATTATTATGAAAATCTATTAAATGAACAACGTACACAGTTTCTAGACACACAGATAGATAGAGTTGAAACGGGGTTAAATGAAGTGGCGATGATTACCGTAGAAGAAATAAAAAACGCATTACAAAAAATGAAAAATAATAAAGATCCTGGGCCGGGTGATTTACCTATCGAGTTATTCAAACATGCCACTGCAATAATATTAGAATTGCTTTGTAAAATGTTTAAAAAGTGCCTACAAGGAGAAAGTATCCCAAGAGATTGGAAAGTCTCTTACATAAACTCCATCTACAAAAAGGGAAACAGGAATGACTGCAGTAATTACCGAGGTATCAGCATTACGTCATCCACTGGCAAACTGTATGAAAGAGTTCTGAAAGCCAGATTAGAAAAAGAAGCCACAGAGATCGAAGAACAAAGTGGATTCTGACCAGGGAGATCTTGTGTCGACAATGTATTTACTCTCAAACACCTAACGGAAAAGAGATTAGCAAGAGGACTAGAACTTCATGCCACTTTTATAGATCTCCGTAAAGCGTTTGACTTCGTACCACTGCAGAGACTATGGAAAACATTGGAAAACGCAGGTATAAATGCAGTATATATAAATGCCGTGAAATATCAAGATAACCAAGCTTATATTAAGGTTGGAAACCAAATTTCCAAGGGTTTCACCCAAACAAAGGGTGTCAAACAGGGCTCTTGCCTCTCTCCAACCCTGTTTAAAATATATCTTGGTAATGCTTTAAAACATTGGATGAGAAAATACAGCCCAATGGGCATATGGGTAAATGACACTCCTATATACACAATCCTCTTCGCAGACGACCGTTCTTGCGTTAGTTCTTGCCGAGGACCTACAAGATATGACGTACATGATAAACAAACTAATAGACGAATTCAAAAAATGGGGATTAGAGGTTAATACCGAAAAGACACAATACATGAATATAGGAGGCATCGGTCAAGACATGGAAACAGAAAGCGGATTAATTAAAAACGTTGATCAGTACGAATATCTCGGAGTTACACTAAGCGAAGACGGGAGAGACGACAAAGATATAACAAGAAAAATAGGAAAAGGAAAAAACATGATAAAAACACTACATCCGATCCTGTGGAATAAAACTTTAACTAAGAAAACAAAGAAAAATATATATCAGGCTATGATTCAGCCGGTGCTGACGTATGGGTCAGAAGTGTGGGTCTTTACCAATAATATGTCACAAAAACTCCTCTCAACTGAAATGATGTACTGGAGAAGATGTTCCGGGTTAACTTTGTTTGACCACATAAGAAATGAAAACATAAGAGAGAGAATGAAAGTAAAGAACACAATAATGGATACGATAGCCGAAAAACAATTAAAATGGTATGGACACCTGAGACGGATGAACGAAGAAAGGATACCACGAAATATAGAAATGGAAAATAGAGGTCTTCAAGAAGGAGACTGGGCCGATAAGAAATTATGGCGATTGGGACAAAATTAAAGTTGCAAAGACTCGCTATATATATATATATATATATATATATATATATATATATATATATATATATATATATATATATATATATAATATATATATATATATATATATATGTATATATATATATATATATATATATATATATATATATATATATATATATATAATTAACCTTAATGACAGGTATGACTATACGTATAACTATATCTTCGTTTACTATACGTAATTTTATTCTTGTTTTAACATTTTTAAATACCAGTTAGATAGTTTGAGCACACTCCAAACAGTAGCAGTATCAAATGAAAAAATGATCTGAAGATCTGAAAGGAATATGTAACTGAATTAATTTGGGTGATGATGATGGATGACTAGTACCGTGAAGGCATAAAGATGATTTAAATCTGAAATATACATATTCAAAAAGATAAAAACAATGTTCCCGATATCATTATTTAATGAGTGATAAAAGTTTTTTAAAACAATATAATGTCTATATTCCAAAACGAAGATCATGCTGATAGGTTACTATTCACTTATTTGAAAAATTGTTTGGTCTTACCACCAGAAATTTACCAGTGGATAACTGACAAATAAATATCTAAAAAAAATTAAAATTAGAAAACCAAATTTAATTAATGAAGATCGATCAACAGCAGGTGAAAAAAGTATTTAATTTCTAGTAATACACAGGATGTCATGAGAAGCTATACATACTCCTACCTCGTATAGAGACCACTATGGACACCAGGCCAAGTTGTGAATTTTGACTGAAATTTCTATTGGCCATAGCTTCTGAACGGTAACATCCATTGTCACGTGTCTCATATTTTGGTCAACCGTTACACTACTACACCTAATCAAATGATTTAATCACACCTTAAAAAAATGAGATCTGGTTTGTTCAAATTTATTGGTTTTTTTTTATAGAAAAACTTGAAAATAACTTACCCTGTATATGGTTTTCAAAATGGTATGGTTTTCAAAATTTCAATAGACACTTTTTGCATTAGTTATTTGTTATAGAGGCCTCCATACGATGTAGCAGTATTTACAGTTCCTCATAAATTACCCTGAGCAGAAGCCTTCATATGGTGTATATTAATATCTTGAAACATGTACAAGTAGTGTAGTAGTACATTAAGAACTAATGTAATACAAACTTAGAAAGAGAGACTACGTTAAAATTTATTATATCTGTACGATATAGTAGCAAGTACCAAAAATCTAGGACATAAAAACAAATTTCTAAGGGCATAAGCACTGCTTAACGCTCATGGGTGGTATTTATCCTCATTATTGGGAGATTGTATGCAATATATGACTGGGCAGGTCATGTAGCAAGATCAGTTGATGACCGGTGGACAAAAAGAATTTTGGAATGGAGACCCCGAATACAAGCTTACAGAAATAGAGGTCGACCCCCAACGAGGTGGACAGATGACATAAAAAGAGTGACTACAAATTGGATTCAGATGGCGCAAAATCGGACTAAGTGGAAAAGCATGCGAGAGGCCTATGTTCAGCAGTGGACGTTAGAGGCTAGTTGATGATGATGATGATGCAATGGATAGGAATGTTTTAGAAAATAGTTTTCCAATTAGGTCAGGTAAAAAGATATTTTACTAATTGATGGTAACGTGCAGTCTAATGAGTCGTGGAAATATATACTCTTAAAAAAATTAACAATAAAATAAATAATATTAAATACTATGTAGACAATAATTTTTGAAATATGCCACAATTCTATAACAAACCAAATGAAATAATTTGAATCATGAAATATTAACTGTAAATATGATTATGATTTTTTACTTAACATTTTGTTTATTTAAAAATTACTCTCGTGTCCATATTTGAAACACAATTTACCAGTCATAAAAAATAGTATGTAAATGGCAATAAAATTACTCACTTACAAAAACCCATAACTATAATTTATTTATAAACATTTCTTAAAATTTATCTTCCATTTTAATTGAAAGATAGTGACAGTAATTATATTTAAGCGGACCTAGTTTGGCTTAAGCAATATAGCTTCAAATATATAAACAATTGCATCAGTATACTTGAGTTAAGACGAAATAATTTGGTTAATAGATATGTGCATTGAAATTTTTATCAGATTTTGTTGGAAGCTGTGTAAAAAATATAGCTACTGCATTACAATTTTATCTTGATATTGATTATTTACAAATATGTGCATTAATTAAAAACCAATTAATCAAGATTCTAAAATGTCACTTATCCAATTTATAAGAAAATAGTACTATGGTCTGTTTTTAAACCAGGAGGAGTAATTCAAATTTTCCGCGCCATAATGCTTGTTTGTAATTGGTCGAAGCGCAGGCAAGTTTACTCCACTAAATTTTGACATATTGACACTAATGACATTTGTGAAATTTTAAAATTCAAAATTTATATCGACAATTTTTTGTATTTTATGTGTTATTTCTTACATCTTTAGATTTTTCGTTTGCATTTATATAAAAAAAAGTTCTTTTCAGAACTATTTAGCGACATATTAGTGTTATTAAGATAACAATATGGATTCAATGCCAAGTACTAGTGGTAATTATTCTTCTTCACCTTAAAAACGCCGAGTAGATTTGGATCATTTATCATCAAAGGAGAAATAATGTACTATAAACATGTACAAGCATGAAAATTGATAATTCTGGAATAAAAATAACAGCCACGGTAGTAAAAATAAAACAGGCAGCAGGTTAGTTTTACAGAATAGTTATTATTAAAATCAAGACTTACTAAAGTAATGTGCTAATTTTAGGTGTTGCGAATTCAACTATTGACAACAATAGAATTTAGAACAATTAAAGAATATAAGCAGACTGAAGCAGTAAAATGTCCTAAAAATATTGAAGGTCGACCTTATATTCTTGCAACATAGGATGAAAGAGTTAAAACATCTATACGACAGATAGTACACAGCTTCTTTTTCAAGAATGAAATGCTTACTTTAGTTAAAATTTTAAGTGAAATTAACAACCGCTCAGATCTTCCAAAATATGTGTCGTTCATTATTATATAAATTCTTGAAGCAAATCAATTTGAAGTAAGTACAAATATCGGTATGTAAATATGGGTTAGCTACAATTATATAGTAAAATTAACTAAAACATTTTATAGATTTCATTTTTATAATCAGGTATATTATTGCTACTATTAAATATTAAGTTTTAAGTTTTTATTTGTATACTCTACTGGAATGTTGTCAAGTATTTTGGTTCAACAGATATAAGAACATGGAAAGGGAACAAAAGGAAAAAAAAGGATATATTTACTTTACATATGCAGATTCAATGCAGCAAATATTACACAGCATAACTATATGTTGTTTTTCTTACTTTATAGGATGATTGATTTATTGTGTATATTATGAATGTCTTACCATAGTTATTTTTTAGGGGAAATTATTCAAAGAATAGTTTACACATTGGGCTGCTGACCAAAAACAAAACTTTCTTGCTCAAATATCTGAAATAGATTCAGTTTTTGATGAAAAAATAAATCAAGAAATTCAAAATGGTGTAGTTGTTCACTAATCTCTCCAAGACATAAATGGAGAGATTTTGGAAGACTAAAACAATTATTAAATTTTTATTTTTACATTCATTCCGAATATATATATTATGCACAGAATATTATATAAATCGATTTCTGACTCTTTGATTTGTTTTTGTAATAACTTCGACTTGGTGATATGCGATAATAGTATTTAATGTGATATTTTTCTAGCTGATATATATAATAAATAGAGTTTACAGTGTTTATAAATTTATAAATGTATGATATTTATATCTAATTATCATAAGAAAAACGGCAACTATCTTTTAAATTTGTGTATACTTGTTAAGAAGCATTTTCATTTTGTTTTGATCACAATAAAAGAACATTAGTAATTAGTGTTTTACTTTGATTGTATTGATACAGTTGGTTTTGTTCTTCCTGTTGTAGATCATCACAAGAAAACTACAAAATTATACTAGAATGTAACATAATAGATTGAATTAGTTGATTATCTCACAGAAATCCAGTATTTTTTAGTAAATTTTATTTATTGATAACAAATGGGACAAACTTTTGAAACTGACGTCCTTTTTTATTGTAATATATATTGGAAGTAAATTAAAAAAAAAATATTATTCAAACATAAAGTTAGGTTAGAATTGACGTGTAAGGTTGTCCGATATTGATTACTCGATTACCGCAAGGCCGATATACACAACAAAAAAAAGAAGATGTATTTGGTGACTTTTCTAGTAACTTTCTTGGGTGTAAATCTGTCTTTTTGGTTTACTCCTCCTGGTTAAAAAACAGAGTATAGCTGTGGTAACCCTTTCGCTTTCACTGAAACCATTAGCATCAGATTAGATATTTCAGAAGTTGTATGTACAAAATTAGATATTTTGTTTCACATGTTAGCTTTATTTCAACGTTTACTCGTTATTTTTTCTTTTACAATCCAGCACATTATGTTTTCTACATATGCAGTGTATTCAGTTCATCCATTTTTTTCTTTTACAAGTATTCCAGTTTTGCAGACTGTATTTAAAATGATCTTTCTTTTTTGGGGTATCATCAATGATGATTGAAGATGAATACTATTTTACTACAGACTTGCTAAGTACTTGTCTAGCTCTATGCTTTGCTTTGATTGATTTGAATTGACTGATTTTACTAACAAACTCTCATGGTGGCAAATCCAATCTAAAATTTACAATTTTAGATCCAGTCACAATATGAATACAGAGTAAAATACCATCGTTGGATAAAAACAGAAAGTTAAGAACCAACAATACAAAAAGTTACGACAATATTCAACAAATACAATATTTATATTTAAATATTATATTTATATGGAATTAAGCCAAAATTGATTGTAATGAAAATTAGATTTTTAACAACTAATGTTTAACGTTTCGATTTCCACTCCAAAAATTGTTTTCAAAAAGAATATTGTTACGATTTTAAATGTTATGGCATATAGAACTGTAAATATTTTATGACTAATTCTTTTTATTGATTCTCGTAATTTGTAGGTCAAAATATACCTGAGCTTCGCTATCAGTTGTTTACAGAAATCTCTAGACACTAATTTTAGTGAGTCATCCACGTCTCGAGGTTGAAAAACGAGTCGAGCGCCTTCACCAAAATACGAGATTATTCAGGAAGTTTGCCGAAAGTTCCAGATGACAACAGTTGTGTATATAAATGAAAGATTTTTGTATTTGAGTCAGTCATAAGAAGATCGGTAAACGCGATATTTAAATGTAACGAAACGTGAAATAAATACATTTGTAAAGTTATTTAATAAATTAGTAATTAGCTATCGTGAGTTTTAATAAATTAGATTATAGACAATAAATTAGAATAAAGACAAATAAATTAGAACTATATAAACATCACAGTGGTGCAGAAGTGGGATTGTAGATAAATTTAATTTGATTTTTGAAAAAGACTTTTGAACTTTTGAAAGGTATTGTTCGTCGGGAACATCCGCGTAGTCCAGTAGTGATCGTTGTACGAAAGAACATTTAAAAAGTACGTGTGTGCCTGACCAAAGATGCTGCTAGTAGAACTTTCAGTGAAACAGTTGCGTGAGCAACTAGAAGAACGCGATGAAGACTGCAGCGGGTCCAAGAAGATCCTCCAAGAACGACTGAAGACTGTTCTCAACAAGAATGGAGACGACCCAGAGACATTCCAGTTCCAGTCAGCAGAAGAAGCCGTTTTAACGAAAATAATTGATGGAAAATTCGAGACTGTTTCCAAAAGATTCGATGAAACGTCACAAATGATTGAAGAATCTTCGAAACAAAATGATAGTAAATTTGAGAACGTCTCGCAAATGATTGAGGAGACCTCTAAAAAAAATGATGATAAATTCGAGAACGTTTCCAAAAGATTGGATGAAACGTCTCAAATTATTAAAGAAGTAGGTAGACAAAACGACGAGAAACTCGAAAATGTGTCTAGAAGATTCGACGAGAAATTTGAAAATGTTTCTCAAATGATGGAAGAAACTTCTAAAAAGAATAATGAGAAATTTAAAGAAGTCTCTAAAACATTTGATAAAGTTGAAGAGAAAGTCAAACAGTTAGAGACCATGATAACTAACACGAGAGTGCTACCACCAATTAATACGGTAGCTTTAGATCCGGTAGAGATAAAAGAAGACGAGACAAAATGTAAGTTGGAAACACGGCCGAAATTTGAAGGAAGCGGAAGTTCCGTTCATGTCAAAGTCCCAACTTTCGACGGAAAATCATCATGGAACAACTACATGAAACAGTTCGAATCAGCTGCAAGAGCGAATGGATGGTCTGAAAAAGAAAAGGCTGTAAACCTGACTATTGCTCTTCGAGGAGATGCCTTAGATGTGCTCCAGACCATAGCCGTAGAGGAGACGGATGATTTCGAACAACTGAAGAAGAGGTTAAATATGCGATATGGCCACGAACACTTGGAGCATGTATATCAGTCGCAGCTCAAAAATCGAAGACAAAAGAAAGATGAGGCTCTTCAAGAATATGAAGTAGATATCGCCAGATTAGTGCGATATGCTTATCCAACAGCTCCCGAAGACATGATGGAAAAGTTGGCCGTTCAAACGTTTATTGATGGTCTTCGTGATCATGAGATGCAAAGAACACTACGATTAGCTCGTCACAAGACGCTGGTTGATGTCTTATCCGCCGCCCTAGAATACGAGTCAGCTACGCAGGCCTCTGGCGGTTACAGTAAAGTTAGGACTGTAAAAGAGGAAGAAGATGAAGATAAACTGGACCAGCTCTTTAATATGATAAAAAGCATGACACACAAGAAAACGAAGACCATAAGACAGAAGACAAAACCAGAACGCGTCGGCATTAGGGGAGCAGCTTCGACCCAGAACTTTACCAATGACC